ATCTGAGTTACTTTAGTCTTTCATTGTATTTCCTGTAATTTTAAGTGTGGATGGGTTTTAAAGATGTTTGGATGCAAAATGCTTCAGAAAGACTTATGTGTTAAGGCAAAGAATATGTCAAAACAAATCACTAGAAAATGAGGTTATTTTAAACTGCAAAATGTGACAAATTGCTGTCACAGCCGCAGTGTGTGTATAACTGCAAAGGCCTTTTTGGTGACAGTTCCAAGGGCACAGCTGGAGCAGGATGCACAGTCCTGTTCGCACCTGATAGACTTTGACTTTGCAGTAAGGACTGGTAAGGCAGTATCAGCGCTACACAGGCAGGTTCAGAAGTATGTAATTTGAGAACTGCACCTTGGAAAACTTTGCTGATGCCAGTTCTCTCTTGTGAATCTTTGGTCTTGGTAACTGTCAAAAATACATGGTTCTGGGGAAGTTATTCCCTCCCACTCCCCCACCGTCCTTTAGAAGCGGGAAAGTAGAGTCATGTTTCATCTTGTTCTGTTTTTTGGAAAGCAAATTCCTGCAGAGACTAATATACGTGTGTATGTACATACGTCTATTTATTTTGCAGGAAGCTGAGAGAGGTTGCAAGTTGGAAAGAACAAATTCTTAGCTTCTCTGTCTCAGATTATATGGGACCGACGTACTGAGAGCACTTTTCCACTGTAGCAGAAGAAGAATGGGGCCAGAGAGAGTATCCTGTATTGCAGTTGTCCTGGGCAGCTATGCAGCACCAGACCCTGACTATAATATTTTGTTCTCGTGCAGCATATGTTAGTTCATTTTCAAGATATGATATTGCCTCAGATACTGAAGTGTAGTACTGGAAGAGAAAAAGGGAACAAAACCAGTACGTATATTCTGAGTTCTGTCACTGAGCTCCTCTAGGAGACTTAAAATTTAAGAATGCTAATAGGAGTATCAACTGCACGCAGCTAAGGAATGAACATTAAGGCACATCGGACTAAAAACGAGAGCTGTGCAGACTTTCCTCAGCCATCCAGTCTGTTGCAGGAACTGCTATCATTCACAAGGTCTTTCTAATACAAAAGCTCCATAGCTATGCCTGCCTATTTTCTGTGGGGTTACAGCAGCCTCAAATTTGCCGTTAGCAGCTGTGTGTCATTACCTGCTCCTGAGTCAGTCACTCATGTCTGCTTGAACCATGCTGAATGACGTGGTTTCTGTTTATAGTTTTCCTTTGGGAAAGTCTCCTTGCTGCAGAAAAGAAAGAAATGACCCTTGTGTCCATTTGTTGGTTAACAGCAGGATTGGTCGTTCAGCACGTTTGAGCAGATGCAGAATGGTACTGCAAAAATGCACTAAAAGCTGTGTACAGTAGGCTTCATGCCAGCAATGGCATGTGAATCTCAGGTTAGCTTTTGCCCATGTGCATAAACACAGTTTATTTAAAAACTTTCAGAAATGGAAGTGTAATCAGAAAAGGTAGATCTTACCACAGCAGGATAACTGCCTGTACCCAAAGTTCATTCAGCTGGGTGACTGCTGAAGCAAGCAGGGATGGAAGTAATTTCCTCTGGTTGTTCTCCATGAATGGTGTCATCCAAAAGTGTAAGTTTTGCTTAATTTTCATTAGTACAGCAGCAGAGTTTCCTTTTAATGTGAAAATACTGAAAGAACCTCTCCTGATTCCCTCTAGAATCCTGTGGCAGAAATGTGGATGTGAGATCTTAATGCTAGCAGATCAAGACATGAAGTTAGCAGGCTTCCCCCAGTGTCTGTTGAATCACCATTTGCAGTGCAGGGATGGTCATGCTAAGCCGAGCCCTGAGGCTACAACTTTCTGGCATTCCAAGTTTTCACTGGCTTTAAAAAGGGCAGGTTTTGGCTGCTGTCAATCTGGTTTAGGAAGCTGCTTACCTTCTTTTAGCCAACTGTTGAGTACATTATAAAAACAAGTTGAAAAAAATACTACTGCCAAACTAGCTGCAATAATTTTGAGGGTTCCCTCCCCACCCCATGAAAGAACAGCATGACAAATGGCCATCTCTCCTGAGTGCGATATCTATGTGATTGGATAGCATGTTGTAGTTTTGAAGCTTCACCCCCTTCCCTCCACCCCTCAAAAAATAGGCTGTATTTCATTGTGGTGTGGCTTTTGTTTTGTTTTGTTTTTTAAATCCGGCTGTGAGCCTTTTCCAGTGTATTACATATTTTCCAGCTACTGTAGATTGTGCTGCAATGTACTGCCAAATACTTTGGCTACCTCAGGTCAAACTAGTGGCAAGGTGTTTTGCTGCAATTACCAGTCTGCCTGTTTGGTAAATACATGGCTGGCATTTGTTTGCAAGCCCAAGAGATGGACTTTTAGGAAAAAAAAAAAAAAGGAAAAAGAAATAAAAAGCAAGCAAACGTAAAACTTCTGCAAGTCTGATGCTGTAAAGTTAGAACAGAATGAACAGATGTAAGTGAGAGAGAGGAAAAGTAAAGGGCTGTGAGGTACTGCTGCTCATTTTACAGTGATGTTAGGAAGGACAGATTGAGGAAATAGGATTGGGAATGTAACCTTCTTTTGGCCTATAACCTTACCTTTTGGTAGATGCTGAGTTCTTGACAGAATTGCTCATAGTGGTTAGTGTTGTCTTGCTCCTGCTTTTTTCTGTTATACTTATTTTCCAGCCCAAGCTAGGCTTTGCACAGACTGCCCTTCTGGGGTCCTTATTTAACATTATTGGTGCAGAGCAATTTACGACACATCTGAGATTGTCATGTTTCATTTCCTTCGAGAGATGACATTTATAGTGTAAATGTGTTCCTGGCTCTCCAGAAACAGCTCTGTATGAGCTCCAAATATACTTCAACTTCACGTTGTATACACTGTAGCAAGCATACTGATATATTGCAACTATTATTTTTATTTTTGCTAAAGTCCTCGCTTCTGTCAAAAACTGTCACTGAGGATTATACCACCCTTTACTTACATTATTCTTCCTTCTTTTACACCAAAATAAGTTTCCTCTTTTCCACTTTGTTTTGCAAAAGGAATTAAAAGAGCTCATTGACAGCTTTTTATTTTCATCATGCAAACCCCAGGTTTTTCACAATTGCAATCACATTTCTGTGGTTTGGGGGGCAAAACCCTTGTCACCTCTAGGATATCCATAGCATCACCAGCTGCTTATAGAAAGCATGCTGTAATAAAGGAGATCAAAATATTTTTCATGAAAGCGTAGCATTTTGAGTTCTGGAAAACTACAGTAAATAATTTCTCTGTGTCCCTCCCTGCTTTCATTTTAAACCTTGATTTAGCAGCTGCTGTTCAGTTAATCAGGCCTCAATACATTTCTACTGCATTTAAGAGAACGTTGTCACCTAAGAATTTGCTTTGGTTTACATTTATCAAAAGTGATAGTCATTTAATGGGTTTCTGCTTTATGGTAAATACGAAGAATCCTCTAAGCTTACTGGGCTCCCAGTGCGTGTACATCTGAAGTTAGGAACCTCTAATTACACCGACTACTTCAACGGCATTTTAAATGTTCTTCCGAGCTGTGCAGTGTCATTATGGTTTTCTTGTTGATTCTTTTTTTTTTTTTTTAAATTACTTAGTACTAAAATGCTGTCGACTTCTCACAAAGAACAGTTCTTCACTATAATGTTACTAAACAAAAGCTCCTTCTTGGCTAACTGTCTGCAGTGTTTGCTACAGTATCCACACAAACAAGTATTGTGAATGCTATGCTCAGGCATCTATATTCATGCTGGTTTTTTCTTTTTTTTTTTTTTTTTTTAATCACCTGTTAGTGGACCTGTTGGACCTGAACACAACAAGTGAAGTTTTCAAACAGCACAAGTTGAGTCAAAATGACCAGCTGATTGGTGTCCAGGACGTGATCAGCTGTCTCACTACCATCTACAGTGGACTTGAAGAGAAACACAAAGATATGGTGAATGTTCCTCTCTGTGTAGACATGTGTCTTAACTGGCTACTCAATGTATATGACAGGTAAGTAACAAGTCTTTATTCACAGTGTGTACCCCAGGAATTTAATGTAGTATTAACAAAGTATAAACCATGGAGACAGAATTGGTAATTTTTGCACATGTGACTTATCAAAAATTCTAGACTTATAGGACTGCTGTATATTTTTTCTGAGTTACTTTCTTGAGGAAGTGTCCATGGTAATAGAAAAATGATAAACCCTTAAGAAGTTCTTTAATAAAAACTTATATCTCTTGATATTTTTGTCTCAGTAATGAAAGAGCAGTTGCTTGCAATGAAATGTTTCTTATGCTGTCTGCTCAGATACACTGAACTAATGTTACACTGCTTTTACACTACTACCAAAGAACCATTGAAAGGATTTCGAGAAATGTATATGTGAGTAGAGAACTGGATATGCTGCTTTAGCTTTGTTCCTACTGTAAATTTCCAAATTGCCCAGATTATTTGCCATTTGTACCAGATCCTATTTCTGTCACAGGTGGGAACATTGTTGTTACTTATTTTATACTAATTTACTTTCATACCATAATCTTGGCTGCTCTGTTAAGTGGCAGTTGTTCTGATCTCGTTGCTAAAGCCTGTCTGATTCTGGAGGGCCAGTGGTGTCCTGGTGTCCCAGCTCACTTCCAGCAGGTGCAGCTCCTGCCTTGTATCAGTTCTGAGTGCTGGTGCTGTGTGATCCACCTGCCACAGCCCTGGCAGCAGAGCTGTAATTCCCCGGTGGATTGTGAATTTACCTCAAGAATGTTTCAGGATGCTTTCCGTAAGAACTTGTGGATTTATTTAAATGCATGTCCACTATTTCCAGAGAGAGCACTGAGTCTCAGGAGACATGAAAAAGTCCACTCCAGCAGCCCCTTGTGGTTTTGGCCAGTCCTTTCTGAGGTCCCAGATGCTTTTTTCTTCTGCTGAACGTCGAACTCTGCCCTGCACTATGTCAGCCTGCATGACCTACAGTCAGAATGGCTTTATTCAGTTGTGCCTTTCAGTCATGAGTTTGTTGCTTATTTTTCTTACTGATGTTTACTATTCTCATCTCCCTTCTACAGTCAAAACTGGGAAAAAGACTTGGTTTCCATCGGCTCCTCCATTCCCTATAATCTATCTCCTTCCATTGCTTCAGCAAAGGCATTTCAGGACTCTGCTGGAGCTGACTAAAGACACAGTAGTGTAATACATGGGGTGGTCGCTTCAGTGTGTCTAACTGACTATATGCTTTAGTTCAGAGTTATACACAGAATTACAAATCAGAATTTCGAAGCTACCTGAGGTTGGTTAGCAGATTTCTTTCCTTTCTCCCCATTTGAAGATGGAAAGAGCAAAAGTATTTCATGAGTAATGATAGAAATTCTTATACCTGGCTTTGCAAGAGAGAACTGTTACTTCTTGATGTATGCATTATCTTCACTATGTTCACTCACTTAACCAGTGCCAAATTCTAACAGTTCATAGTTTTTTTGCTTTTTTTCCCCCAGAGGATTACATACCAGTACTCCTATACTTTATGGATATTTTATTTTATTTTATTTTATTTTTAAATCTTGTGGTAGGGGAGAGGGAAGGAGGGAACAGAGTACATACAACCATTTATCATTTCTGTGCTATCTGTTATGCTTTGGCATTTGAGTATTACTTTTTAATATTGTGACATATCTGTTAGTTGGACTCCTCATCATTACTGCTGGAAAATTAGAGAGTCCATCAATTAATGACTGGGACTTCTTCCTGAAATTATTTTCATTTTGTTCTGTATTGTGGGTGAATAAACACATCACTTGCAAATAGATTAAGTGGGTCGCTTGACTTAAATGTTATTAGTTATTTAGAATAAGAGACTTAATAATGTCAGAGAATTTTTTTTGTGGTTACTGGTTGGGTTTTTTTCAGATAGATCACAAATCCATTATATATGGATTATAATGTTATGGTATAACGTACCTTTGCTTCCTAACTTCAGTTAAAGTCAGTTGTTTAATCTGTTCATATTTAAAATGCACATAGTAAACAATAAACCTGTCTCTCAATAACATTTCCTGTTGCTCCCATTTCCCCCTGATTATTATGTTGAAAGCATTAGTGTAGATAATTCTTCAAGTTGATGAAAGACTTTAATCTTCAGTCAAACTTTAAAAAATGGAGGATGAAGGTTTTCTGAGAGAAAATTACCTTGTATTTCCTTGCTCCTGAAAGAACAGGCAACAATTTTGAGCCACCTTTATATTTGTTTTTTTTTTTTTAATTGGCCTTTAGGAAAAAACTAATTTGTGTCTTGGCATTTCCATTGTTTATTGCAGGGGTGTTACACATATACAGTGTTTCAAATTGTTAAACTGCCTACAAAAAGCATCTGTTAGTCGCATGCTATTAACCTGAGATTTAATTACTGATTCACAGATTGATGGCAAACTGGGTAGTTCTTCAGTCTTACCTACAGATGACTTTGGGTCTTAAAAAGAACCAATTTATTTTTAGAAATAGTAGGCAAGTCTGTTGTGGTCTGGTATTTTTCTGACACATCAGGAATGATTCATTCTTCAAGCTGAGTAGAGGAGGGAAACATTAAATTTACTCAGTGACTTTACTTCTTCAAGGACTCAAAGGTTGTTGCAGGCAGCAACATCTGCCCTGTAAATATTTTCCAAAGTCAAAGTTCCTTGTTTAGGTTAGTCCAGAGATTATTTTTTTAAAAATGAAATTATAAATAAACACATTGCATTTTACAACGAGAGCTGTGAAGGAAATTGTTTGCTCTATGTAATCATTTTGCCAGGCCTGTGTTTAAATTATCGAAAATCAATAACTGGTGGTTATTCTTCTGGACTATATACTGTCAAATTTACTAAAACCTCCAAGTCATTTATATGAAAGGGACTAATAGCTTATAGTACTAAAGGAATAACAACACCCCTTGAAATGAGTTGGTTTAGATATTTTAAAGTCTGTCATGCATAATATAGAATACATATACTAATTGTATACCCAATGTCCATAGAGAAACCTTTACATGCACTGATTTTAAAGTCCTGCAGTGTTTGTCCGGCTTCTGGTATTTCAACTTTCTTGATTTTTGTGATGTTAGGTTACTTTTGATCATGTGTTCTTTTAAATTTAATTTCTTTGGTGCATTAGTCTAGGAAGGGTATCTATGGTATGGCATGTATGCTAACCTTTTCCATATGATATAAGCTGTCATTCATAATCATTCTCCATGGCCCAGGCTTCCTCTGAAGAATTACAACTCTGTTATTTATTGTTGCACTTATACACCTGGCAAATTCTAACACCAGGTTGAGTTAATATTCCAGGCCTTACCAGCATGTTCAGTTCAGCAAAATCTGAACTTCTGAGGAATGAGAAGGATGAGGGACTTGGTCAGTCAGCCTTAACTTTATGTCCTGGTTTTGATGGTAGCTGATGGAAATTTTCTGTGTGCAGTCCAGTTGCATTCCCTGTGCTGATGATAGCTGCCCTGGTTCACAGGGGACTGCGGGAGCTGCAGCTGGCAGGCTGCAATAGTAGTAAGAAGCACTCTGGGAAGGACATGAAGGACATGGCCCTCTGTAGGGCAGGCAAATGAGCTCCTTTGACTCCTCTCTGGTTGATCAAGGGGAGGCATCTGTGGGGACCTTCAGAATCTAGCAGGCTGCCTCCTGTTGCTGTATTATGTAGATAACTGATAGCTGCCGTCCTTGGTAGTCCTTAATTGTAGTGCCAACGTTGACCAGGCTCGAGAGCTCTTTGACAGACGTCAGAACTGAAGGGGGCTCATCTTCTTACTTCTCCAGTTTTCCTTGTCTGATGCTTTTATGCTGTTGCCCCCCACTCTTGGGGGGCAGCTTCTCTTGTTTTCTGTTGATTTGCCAGTCATCCTTATTGTGTATTCCTGTTTGCAGTCTCTTGTACTTAATCTTGTCCTTTGTCTGGCAACTTTTTGTCACCTGGCTAACTCCTGTGTGCAGCTGTGCCCATCACTGTTTGCCCCTTTGGCATTCACATTGGTCACATACTTAGGTAGAATACTTACATATTATATCTGGCTATGCCATCACGATTCCACAGAATACTTGCATACCATTGTTGGTAACAATAGTTTTGTACGCTTATATTCAACAATCTACTATTAATTATGTCCTGATTAGTACATTTATAACTTAGAGGTGTCACAGGCCTCTGTTTTGACTATGGTGTAAACTGTGTCTGCCTTCCAAAGAAGTTTTGGGTCCTAACTGTATTAGGATGTTACTTAGAAAAAAGAATAAAGTTTGCATAAGAAGGTTGCATGATTATGGAATGTTTTTGGAAAGTCTGCTAAACTCATTTTCCTGGAAAGACATACCTTCAGATAGTTTTAACCCTGCTTTAATGTTTGTCATTGAATTTCCTAGGTGTTTGAGCAGAAAGAGAAATGTTAGTTTTAGGATTTAGCAGGCTGTTTTGCAGCTGAGATGTTCCTGTGGCTGAATAGTGCTAAATTATATTATATGAATCCCAAGTGCTCCACACAGCTTGTGCCCAGTGTAGTGAGGTTGGGATCGTAGTTTCATTTGTTTGGAGTTCAGTTGTTACAGGATTGGCAAGGGAGCTCCCGAGGCATGGCTCATGGCTACTGCCTCTGTTACCTGTGTTTTACCTGTTCTTCCCTCCCTCTCCTCTTCTGCATCCTTTAGATCCAATGTCTCCTGTAGTAAGACATAGGATAAAAGCATTCTCCCTTTCTCTTCTGATACTACAACTATTTCTAGATTACCCTTTTTTCCCCTCATTTGATTATGTTATTGTACGGTAGCGACAGTCACCAGTTTTTATACAAAGGAGCTTTTTGATATTCTCTGCAGATGTTTTCTATCTCTGAATCAGTTGAATGGTTGCTCTTTGCTTGGATGGAGAGTCTAAACTCTGCAACAATATGTGCTGCAGTCCCAATCCAGCCTCTCTACCCATGCAGCGTGGTACCCTCCCATGCCCTTATCCAAATGATCTAATTAGCTGATTCCCCACTAAACTAGTCCTCTCTGCAGTATATGCTTTCAATGCACTCTCCTACTATGCCTGAAAATTATGTATACCTTTTTTTTAAACGCCTATTTTGGCGAGTTTAAAAGTTGAATTACTTCTGGGTTCTGTGCCATGTCCTGACTGGCAGTGGATGAAGATGCAACAGGGGGAATCATACCTGAGGCAGATAGGTCAGAGCCTGCCTGGTTCATATGTAGAGATAACAGAATCACCTACAAAACCAAGGATTCTTTATTTCCTCCTTCCCCTCACCTCTCTTTCCCCTCCCCACTAAAACAATAAAATTCCAGTTCATTTGGGGAAGGAGAAGAATGTCAGCATCACACTATGAGGGCAATGAATCTTTAGACTGTGTATTGCCTGGGAAAAGAGGGCTCAGAAATATCCAGAGGGACAAATGGACTTTAGAAAACAAGAAAAGTGCTTCTGACAAGCAGCTATAATGATTTTGCTATTTTTCACTTGAAGATAGGTCAGAGGTCAATAATGTGCCATTTTTATACTGCCTTTCACTGTTCTATTGACGCAGAATGGACAACTTTGCTCTAAAGCAGTTAATAGAGGCATAATGGTTCAGATTTCCCTTGGTCAGGATCAGAGCAAAAAATATCTGAGCTGCTTAAAGTGGTCTTATCAATTGATTTTGTAATGACAAGCATGCTTGTATTGCTGTCATGAATCTGAAGAGTGTGCTGGCACTGGATTCTAAATACTTGACCCATAAATTTTGTATGAACTCAAGCATTAAAAAGTTTCCTGAACCTTCCTGCTGTAAGGCCTTGATTTTTAGATGTTTGTGCACAATTAGATGGTTGTGCTGCCATTCAGAGGCACTTTGACAGGTTGGAGAAAGAGGACAACAGGAATCTCATAAGTTCAATGAAAGGAAATGCCAAATCCTCCACCTACGGAGGAATAACCCCACATACCAGTACAAGCTGGGGGACAACTGACTAGAAAGCACCCTTGCGGGAAAGGCCATGGGGGTCGTGGTGTACACCAAGTTGAACATGAGCCAGCAACATGCATTTGTGGCAAAGTAGGCCAACAGTCTCCCGGGCTGCATTAGGAAAATCCTTCCCAGCAGGTCGAAGGAGGTGATCCTTGCCCTCTATTCAGCACTGGTGAGGCCCATCTGGAGTTCTGGGTCCAGTTCTGGGCTCCCCAGGACAAGAGAGACATGGACAAACTGGAGTGAGTTGAAGTACCATTAAGGACTTGGATTCTTCAACCTGGAGAAGAGAAGTTTCAGGGGGATCTTATCAATGTGCATAAATACCTGATGGGTGCGGTAGAGAAGATGGAGCCAGACTCTTCTCGTGGTGCCCAGTGACAGTACAAGAGGCAGTGGGCACAAACTGAAACACAGGAAATTCTGCTTAAACATTTAAGAAAAAGATTTTTTTTTTTTTTTAATGTGAGGGTGATCAAACAGTGGCACAGGTTACCCAGAGAAGCTGTACAGTCTCCGTTCTTGAAGATATTAAAAAACCTGGCTGGATAGGATCCAGGGCAACCTGCTCTACCTGACTGAGCAGGGTCATTGGTCTAGATGGTCTCCAGAGGTCCCTCCCAACCTCAGTGACTTTGTGACTCTCTAAGCTGGGCAAACTTACACCATTGAATTGGAAGCGTCAATACTACAAAGTCTATGGGTTTGGTGGAGGGATTTTGTTACGATTTGTTGTGGGTTTTTTACTGTATATATAATTCCAGTGCTTATATTTAACTGTTTCCAGGAAAAATGCTAGGGGAAAACATTTTGCTCTTTAGAAAAATGTAATACTGCAGGGTTTGTAATTCTTTTTTTAATTTATTGAGGAAATACTTTTTTGTGTGAAGGAAGTTTTTTCACAGTCCCTTTAACAATCTGCTGAAATCTGGAGAAGTTTGAAGCCTCCACATACATGCCCTGACCTTTTAGCTGCAAAGATTTTCAGAGTTTCTACCTTTAATAAACAAATGTTCTAGTCAGTCCTGAGTTTAATCCAACGAAATGAATGTTCTGCTTTGTTTTTCCATTGAATACAAAGTTAAAACACAGACAACAGTACACAGGAAAGAATGGGGAAAGAACTATATCAGGGTTGCAAAATGAGCCATTTCCACGTTACGGTATGCCAGAATGATGTAGTGTCTGTGATTGAAAGAGGTAATTTGAAGCTAAGCTTGAATGTATAAAATAGGTGGCACTTTTATAACATTCTGGAAAATTGGGTCCTGATTTTCAAACCAGGCAGTAAAAGTAACGGGTGTTTTTGATTAATTTAGCAATAATTTCTCTGTAACTCTATTCCAGCTTGTGGAATGGAGAAGATAATGCCCATTAGATTAGGTGATGGTTGTGAAGACAAATGCATTAATATTTGTAAGGCGCTTAGCTAATTTACTGAGAGCCCAGAAGTAAATTAATAATTTTGTATGCAGCACTACATTTGAGAAGTAAATCAGACAGCAGACGGTATGTAGAATGGAGAGGACAGAAAGAGATATCTAATAAGCACTTCAGATGTAATTAAAGGATATATCACTTCTGCATGACAGAAGGGACCAAAGTAATGTTTGAGGTGATATTTAGTATTATCTTACTAGCTGATGAAAGATCCAGCTAACCTTAAATGCAGGGGTGTGTATATAATATATACAGTTTAACTACTATTCTCATGATTTTTTTGCCATGTCTCATCTAAAGAGAAATTGCATCATGTTTTTTGGTCTTTGAAAGAAGACATTGTCAGATCTTTTAAGATTATGTTTCTGCACTGATCTTTAAAATTGTCCTTTTCCATGTACCCTGGGTTTATTGCTTTAGTGTCTTTTTGAACAGTGTTTGTCTTGCAGCTCTCAAGTTGCCCAAGGTTTGATGTGTGGGTTTAGGTATTTTTTTTTTCTCATGTTGATCAAGAAGACCCTGAAGTCACATTGCTTAAAAGGAATGACAGCTCCACATCATTTAATTACTGCATGTGGTTGGCTGTTTATGTCCTGATACACATGTATATCAGAGCATTTTAAACATAAAAGGAAAAAATGAAGTGAAAAAAATGAATGAATTATTGTGATATGAAAACTTGGTTTTATTTTGCAGTCCTTGTGTTTCATACTTGGTAAAAGGCTTTCCTGCTGTCTGCTCATGTATTTTCTTTTCTGTGTATATCACGTTATTAAATCATGTTGAGAGCTTTACAGAGCTAAATGTCTGCCCTTTTGGAGTAATACGAACTGTTTTGACATGTAAACCACTTAGAAGGTGAGCTGAGCTTTTGTAAGGGAAGCATTCTTAATGTCATTTGTAGTGTTAATTTGTTTTGAGATTTGAAGTATATTTGAAGTAGAACTCACCAATGCCTTTGCATTTTTTTAATAGATTTGATTTGGTATGAAATCAAATTAAACTGTATTAAATGGTCTTATTTTTATAATTTCAGTGGCCGAACTGGAAAAATTCGAGTGCAGTCCCTGAAAATTGGCTTGATGTCTCTTTCTAAGGGCCTTCTGGAAGAGAAGTACAGATGTAAGGAAGAATGTATTTTATAAAATGCTTGCTTTATATAATTAAGTCATGTACAATAACAACACACATTGTAGCAGAATTTCTAGTAAAACATTTCTCATGCCTGTAGCAAGACAGTTTTCTCATAAGTAAAATAGAATTGTTGTTTTCATGATCATCAGTGACAATGGAGAAAGTAAGATTTATATCCTGACTGCAAATTATTGATGTCAGTTATGTATCGTCATAATGCACAGTATTGTGGTCCCTTCAAAAGCAAGGGAGGAGAATAGCTGTGTGGAAGCCAGAGAAGTATTCCATTTGACTGATTCTGTTCTCGCATGTGTGTGTGTGTGTGTATGTTTTGTTTAGGGAAAAATCAAAGTCAGTGTTGATTGGAAGAGATTGATATATCTGATAAACCAAGGAAATATATCAAAACCCAACGATTGTATTTTGGTGTCTATGAAAAAGATGATCCGAACTCCAAAAATAGTTTTCCAGTATGTGTGCTTCCTGCCAGAATTGTACCGTGCAAGTTTAAATTATGTTGATTTTAAGTGATCTTACAAGCTTGAGAAATACTGAGTAGTACAAAAATATTTCACAAAAATAATTGCAGGAGCAGAAGGAAATTGAGTAACTGTGGCAAACCCCCCTGACAAATACATAACGAGAGATTAAGCACTATGCAAGAGCATTGTAGGTGACAGACAGTTATATGTTATTCACATAATCTTAAAATTACTATTCTCTGCAGTAGTTCCTTCACACATTTCAGAAACACATGTAAAATGTATAGAGACTGTATTTGCTTTGTACTATTGGAGCTCTGCAACAACTTCTGCTTTCCTTACAAGATTACCTACAAATACTTCTAATCTTGATTATTAACATTGAGCAAAAGTACACGTATCTTATGCGTTGGCACATATTTTGACATCTGAACTTGAGCCTACACTAAGACTTTGGTTTTTTAAGTTTCCTTATGTCATTTGACATATCTCTAAATTACTCCATAACTAAAAGAGCTTGGTGGACATGTCTTTGTTCACTTATGACAATTCAGGAAGTAATCTGCCACTTGGTGGGAAATAAAAAGCTTTCATAAAGTATAGGAGTTAGGGTGTGTACAAAAGAATGATAACCTTACCAAAAGATGGTTTTAAAAAACCCAAAACCTGGGAATAAACTCACATTGAATGGCTATCAGTAATGAATTAGTATACTTCAGTTACACTGAAGCAGGATGAGGAAATGAGTAAGCTGGATTCATTTTTATGTTGTTGCTTTGTGTCTAGTAATAAAATAAAAATGGCTGCTGATGGTGGCTGCAGATGTACGTAATCTATGTTAACAGGGTGGGCTTTTTCCTGGAGATTGCTGTGAAAAGTCCTAAAAAAATTCATGCAGAAAAAGTCTTAGGAAACTTTTGTACCAAGTGATCATAACTTCAACCTGAAATACATCTGAAATTGAAATACTTGCTCAGCTTCTCAAAGCAGAGAATTCAGTCAGATAACACAACCTTTTTGTTGTTGTTGTTGTTACTCCTGTTCTAATTAGTGGGCCAGGCTTCACTATCTTTATTGTCGACTTTATTGTCCTTACAAACCATAAAATTGTCACAAAACAAAACTCTTCAGTCTGAAAGAAATTGTGGAGAAGAAGGAAGGAAGGAACGGTGTCAGGTACTGATTGTTGGCCTGCAGTGGTTATGCAGTCATCATTTTGGGGTCCTCTGGCACCAGCTGTGTCACAGACTGATCTTTGATGTGAGCTCTCTTGCTTGTTTTGATTTTGTCACACCCTACTTATCATCTACTGTTGAAAGAAGTTTTGTTGTATCTATTGAGCTTTCAGATCCTTAGGTGAAAACCGTAATGGAAATTTTCAAGAAAATAAGTCATTTGGAAGGAAGAGCAGTACCTCCAGGATAGGTGCTTAATACAAATTACCTGCCTTCTGATTTTTCCCTTTCTCAGACCAGCTCCTGACATTTGCTTCTCCTTTTGGCTCTATTTCTTCTAAGCGTTTCTGAAGCATTGCCAGTCCCAGGCTTCTCTGAGCGTGGCAGTCGTCCTACGGATGCAGTTGGAGCCCTTAGCAGAGCACAGACCATGCCTTAAATGTTGTAGTCTTAGAGAGGCAAACTCTTCTCAGAGTAGTTGGTAGTAAAATAGGCGAGTTTCGTGTTTTAAAAGCTCTTTGATGAACTCTTCTTTTGTAAAATGTTTAACCAGACTGTCTGCTGTAGTGTTTTCTGCCTCAGCCTTCCCAAAGACTAGCCTTTCAGGGACTAACGTGAAGAAACATAATTTCTGGGCTGCTGAGACATTGGTTTTATGAAATAATATGGTAAACTGACAGGGTGTGATAATTTCAGTTTACCAGTACGATTGACCTTCATCTTTCTCTCTTACCTTTTTGGGGAAATCCAGCTTTTGTTCTTTTTTCTTTCTTTAATGTGAAGCCTTTTTCTTTTTTTGTTATGTTAACTGTATGTTCATTTCCCATATAGGTCAGATCTTTTCACTTGACACATTTTTTAAGTATGTTTTGCCAGAAAATTTCCATGATTTTTTTTTTGAAATTTAATTAAGTTTCTTTTTAAGATGCTAGACTTCAGGGCTGATAGGAGAATGAATCTTTAATTAAAAAAAGTCCCAATTACTTTAGAAGAAACATTGAAGCTTCAATTAAAGAATGCCTATTCTTGAAATAATTTAAAGACATGCTTAACTTCAGCCACACACCTGGATGCTCCTGTGAATAAAAATGGACCTGCAAATATAATTGAGTTGCTGTGAGCAGTTTACATCTATGCTTGTAGGGCAAGTAGTCCAGGGCCTCTTTTTGTTGGTGAGGCCAATGACCTGGTCTGGCTGTATCCGTGTTACTCTCTCCTTTCTCCCCAAAACAGGAGGGCCACATGTGAGCTGCCTATTGGAAATTATCCCTGACCCTACCGAACTCTTGCATCATTCCTGGCTACTTTGGGGGCAAGAGTCAGTCGACTTTGATCAAAAGCATGACGGATATACTTTTAGCGGCTTAACAATACAGACGACAGCGTTCCAGTGCTTGGGCTTAGACCCTGATGCGCTGCTCAGTTCACGAGTACAGAAGTAGCCTTAAAAAAATGGAAAAGAAATAAAAGAAGGAAGCACATGACAGAAAGTAACAGTAGCTTAGTTCCAGAATACTCAGAGCACAATAAACAAGACGCTGCTCCTTTTGCCATTAATTGTTTGTACATTATTACAGGACTTCTGAATACTGTGGAAAAATGGAACATTTTTAACCACTCAATTTTAGTGTGCCAAATGTTCTAGGAAGGTAAATTTCAATCATATCGGCAAGAGTTTGCAACAGTAAAAATTTTAATTTGCATGTGTGATTATTCACAGCAGATTTTATGCCTGGTCATGTAATCAAGAGACAACAAACGATGTCTCAGAGGTATGGATTTCCTGAGGAACAACAGGAATTTTATCTTCCCTCCTTTTTCTTCAGTTTTAGTGGTTGAGAAAAGCCATAGAACAGTGTAATAACTGGGAGCACATTTGCGTGCATTTTGCTCTACGTGAGCTTATTTTTAACACAGAAAGCTTAGACTTGCAGCAGAAGCAGAAAACACGCATGAAGTTTTATTTAGTGTGTAGATTTGTAGGTTTTGGGTCATATAATTTAATGCGTAAAAACTGTAGTATTTGAGGTCAAAAAGAAGGGCTCCTTGAAAAATCTCAATCGTGAAGCAGTTAAATTTTTCAAGTGATGTACAACAACCGTGGAATGTGATTTTTGTTGCTGTTGTTGTTATGTTTATGTTGTTAATTTTCAAACCATTTGGCACTAAACCTGTGTAACTTTAAAAAAAATGTGGGGGGAGAGAGAAAAAAGAATGTGTATCCTGTTTGTAACAATGCACATGAACAGATGAAGGTACATTTGCATATTTTTAATTATATTTCAGTGTAACTATGGAGTCTTTATCACTAGATTCCTTGGACCTGCTTGGATGGTTCGGGTTTGACAGTGCTAGGTTTGTGATTTGAGGTCTTGGCAACTTCAGCAAAAGACATAAAATGTGTGTCGTGGACATCATACTACTAACCATCTTATTACTGTTTTGGTAGGAATTTTAGAAACTTTTCAACATTTTCAAGTATCCCCTTCTATACCAGCCAGGAAGTACATTTTTTTTTTCAGGTTGTCCAGCTAAGTTGCAGTTTGAGTCCTGCTGGCTGTCATTCTCAAAGTACTAGTGTGAGGCTGAATTGAATTTAAAATTAACTGATTTTTTTTTCCTTGTTTCTGCTTTTTCCTATGGCTGAGATTTGAATAATCTTTTCTTTTGCTTCACGAGTCATTCTTCTTGTCCTTTTGGTAGAGTCCCTTATACAGTTTAGTCTTTATATGGATGTATTTTACGTATAAAGTCATATAATATGTATGTACATATTAACAAACTCCATTTATAAGAGTTTGTGACTTCTGACATTACTGGTGGGTGACGTATGGAGTCCCTTTTCCCACTAGTGAGTATGGTGTCTAGATGTACCCTGTCAGACCTAAAATGAGCTCTCCTCCCATATGTCTGCCACTTGAGAGCTGCTCTCGCCATGCCTCCTTTGCCAGGGAATAGCTCATGTGTTACTTTAAGGAGGTAGGCCAGAGAGCAAGAAGATTTTGGCTTTCCATGCCTTCAGTTGAGGAGCTTCTCCTCCTGTGTGTCGCATCAAAGGAATTGAGGGTTATGGGAAAAGAGGGTACTGTCCATGAACTCCCTTGTACTTGGATATTCATTGGTTATGGCACAGCTGCCAGTGTTAAGTTTTATTTGTCTTTTAAGTGGAGTATTTTGGAGGAGTTTGAGGTCTTTGAAGGTATTTGCTGATTTCTTACTTGAATCAACCCTAGCTGATCACTCTCACTGTTGCCTCTTCTGCCACATCGTTTTTCCTCTATTTACTAGCTCCCCAATCAACCGAAGGTTTAGGGCTTGGGAAATTACTTCATCTTCCTCTCAGCTACAACAGTTAATGAATTGTTCTTTTTTTAGCCTGTTTCCACTGTGGACTGATGCAAACAGAAAGAATAAAACAGGCATACTTTTTTTTAATCCTATCAGGTTTTTTAACCTGACTTTCAGAAAGTGGAAAACTATCCCAACCACAGCTGAAGCAGCTAGCCAGGATCTGGGATTGCCAAGGTGAACCTGCAGCCGTGCAGTGCGAGTTCTGTCACTGCGGTCGTCTGTGGGTTTTTTTCCTCACCACTGAGTGCTGCAGATCCTGTAGCATTTGTTTCACTAGGCAAGAAAGTGACAAGAAAAATACAAGAAACTCTAACAATTAATTCAGTCATCTGGATTTCTATTTTGTGCAAATTGTTTCTTCTGCCTCAACCTCCTTTGCCAAGAAAAAAAAGTATGACCAGACTTTCTGAAGCACGCTGAGAAAGCTTGACAGTTGTTCCAAATCAAGGGCAAAACAATTCACAGAGTATAAAAAAAGAGATTCTCTTGAGTGTTTCTGAACAAAGCTTGTCTGTTTCTCAATCAGAAGTGCAGTCAGACTGAATTTTCAAATTTCATTTATTTCTAACCTATTAACAGTTGTTCTGGTGGGAAACATGAAAAGTAGGGGAATAGTATAAATGGATTTTTTTCCTTTAAGATTACTTGCAGCTATAATCCAAGCCAGCCACTGAGTGCAAAAGGAGAATGTAAAAGCCAGCTGGAATGAACACAAAGAATTCACTTCTATTTCTTCCGTAAATTGTACCAATCACAGAATTTTAAAATATTTCTGAGATGAACTCAATGTTGAAGATATTTTCAGGAGAGATTAATCTTGTGACTAAATATTAATGTACACAGCTACAAAGTTCATAAATCAAGGCTTGTTGACAGAAACATGTTTAAAATTTTAGCTGAAAGTTTTAACAATTACAAATGTCCAATCAAACAAATGTATTAAGAAAGCACTCTGTACTGCAGAGAGGCTATTAATTCAGCGTTTTGCTGTGACTCTTAAGTAGGTACAAACAATATCTTTCTTCCCAGCGTCTGTGTCTGGAAGAATTTTCTTGATGCCTTTCAACCTCAATTTTTTCTGTCGTTAGTTATCCCAGAACGTCTGCTTATACTGCAGGACTTGACACCTACCTTAGGAAAAGGGAATCAAGTAAAGGGAAAGTACACGGAAGCAAACACTGTTATCCAGGAACCAAATGTTAAGCTCAAGTTGTCTTGCTGTCTGCTGCTCTTGCTTTAAGCTATTTCACATGACCAGCTGTGACTTGTAGTAGTGTCTAGTCTCGGTTCAGACCAAACATGCTACTGCCCCCAACCAGTCAAAGGATGGCATAGATTTTGGCATAAGATACGGATTTTTGAAATATTATTTCCTTCTTCCCTAGTGATAACATAGAAAACTTAGTAAATCTTAAGGGAGGCAGTGTGGTAATGATGGATTAGAACACAAAGCTGTTCCGCTTTTGTGATATCTCTTTTGCTTTGTCACACAGCTGCTCCTAGGTAAAACAGGAGCCGCAATGCACAGTTTTATCAAGAGATGCCATAAGAAGTCATATAGTTTCATTCATTTGGCCTTACTTTTCTTATTTCTATGGTTATGGATCAAGAAAACGTGGCCAAAGTAATCACGATTAGATGAGGGTAAACTGTTGTAAATGGGACAGTGGCCATCTGTAACCGCATCTGGATTACAAAAATTAGGAAGCTCAAGCTGCAGCGTTACTGAATAAAAGGGGGTGTACATGGAAACGAAATGAGCCGGTGCCTCTTGTCGGCGTTGCAGATCTCTTCAAGGAAGTGTCAGGCCCCACGGAAATGTGCGACCAGAGGCAGCTGGGCCTGCTGCTTCACGACGCCATCCAGATCCCGCGGCAGCTTGGGGAAGTGGCAGCCTTCGGTGGCAGCAACATTGAACCCAGCGTGCGCAGCTGCTTCCAACAGGTAAGAAAACAAAGACCTTCATGTGCAAAAAAACCCCTCTCTCTGAAGTCTTAAGATTCACTTTTACATGGTATAAAAAGAAGAGCGGAATTTAAAAACATCTATTGAGTTTCTGAACAGAAATGAATATGCTCCTGCAACTAAATGTGGGAAGTTATTGTGAAAATGCAGCTGTAAAAGATGGTTTATTGTTTAGGAAAGGATCAAACAAATTACTTTTTAGCAAAAAGAATATATAAATCTTTGTAGTTTTGACAATATTGGCTGCTCTAAAAGCTGTTAAAAAATTTTGTAGCAGCCAATTATCCTGCTTTGCATCGTTCAAAGCAACCTGATACTGTGAGAACAACTCGCTTTTCCCTGCTGGAACAAGATGTGATCTCAACAGAACAAGAGAATGATGTTGATAGTAATTTTTGACCTCGTGCATCAGGAAATTATTTAGCATTCTTTTACTGACAAAAGAGCTTGCAGTTGCACGAAACTTCAAGCATAGTCATTTGTATATCGTGAGCCTTTATGCAGCAGATCAGAACATGGAATAAAGCTGTCTTACAGCCTGCTGTTCAGCTCGATGCTACATGCAGGGGGTTAATGAGGCTGCAAGGAGCGTCTGTCTGTTTAAAGAAGATGAGAATTAAAAAGTGGATGTTGTAATGGAACACAACCTAACTCAGACTTTGTCAAGGGTGCCTAAGGCTCTGAGTGTTTGCTAGTGATAACTATACTGGTCGAGTGTATTATTTCTGTGAAAGTGGCTGCTTTGAACATTGTCAGAAATTATATATGGAATAAAAATCCACTATGGGATATATAAAACTACTGTTGTCTTCAATATTTCTGATTTTATTGAATCCAACATTAAATGTTATAGTGAACTTTTAGAGCACTTTTCTTTTGCCATTCTTTCATAGACGTTTCTACACTTTCATCCAATGCTTTGAAAAATTCAGTGGTGCTAGATTTTTTCAGAACCATTGGATTCACTTCTGGACTCTGAGATGATTGGAATTGGAAGAGTGTTTGTCCAGATCATGAATAATTTGTTAGACACTTATGGAAGTTGGTTTGACCAATTAACCATGTAAAACTTCCCCTGAGGTTTTAACATTGCTGCTTCAGACAATAAGGGGTGGTGCTTGACACTGGCCTGGAGTGGTTCAAGTCATCCTGAAATAAATTATTCATTTGTTAGTGGCAGACTTTTTCTGTCACAGAGGAATGATCTTTATGTCCCTCAAGGATCTGCCTCATCTCCCATGCTGTTCAATTATGGGTGAGGGGTACTAGCAAGGTAGTGTTTAAATACCTGATGTGATATTATGATTACACTGATGATGAGGTTGCATCCCTCATCTCACATGAATAGCTCAAGTTCAGTCCCTGGTCATTAAGAGAGCATAGAGAAAATTTGTAGCTGCATGACAGTTATCTCAGCCTAGTGAAAAACAAGTATTTTGCTGGCGGGGAAAGTATGTTGGATTTTTTTTTTTGTGCTGCTCTCTCTTACTGGCAAAAATCAACCTGGACTATGAATAGGTAAAGCAGCCCAGTGTTGCTTCTCATCATGTGTTACCGCTTAAGAATAATTTTCATTTTAAGTTGTGTTCTGCTACTACCAGTGAGCTTAGAAAGATGACCTCTATTCTTATTGCTGACAAAGTTGAGGAATATAATACCTTTGCAGCTGGGCTCCTCTGGTGGTTAGTACTTAACAAATATGCTTCCACATTCTCTTTTGCTTCTTAAAACAATCATACTAATACTTTAACTCTGCTGTATTCTTGCAATGATTGCCTATGAGTGGCAGATTTCTTTCTTTTTTCTCATTATTTGTTTATGTACCTGTTTGTTTATTTGTGTGTTTGTTTAATGTGCTAACTCGAAATAATACCATGGGCTCAGAATACAATAAAAAAAAATTGCGTGAGTGTCACGGCAATTAGCAGACACATGCAATCACTACTGACTTTTGGCAGTCTGGCATCAATCTTAACTCAAAAGACAACCATGTCTTTAGTGTGTCTGAACTGCAGAACGTGCTTCCCTTTTATGCTCCCTTACTTCTTTCTCAAGTCCTTTCCATTCAAAGATGACTTTACTCCATTACTCCTTTACTATATACTCCATCTTTGTTACCATCTGTCTCCTCTGTCACAGCTGTTTAGTCCTCTATATTCTTACTGGCTAACTTTTTTTTCTTTATTTGCATTTTAATTGAGATTGTTTCTTGTATCCTGTAACTGATTTTACATTGACCTGGCATGGAAAGGATTTACACAGGTTGTGGTTGTTTTTTTTTAAATTGAATTCTAAGGAGAATTTGCTTGTGTGTGTTGGTTTGTTGTTTTGTGTTTTGGTTTGGTTTCGGTTTGGTTTTTTTGTTTGTTTGGTTTTTGTTTTTTTTTAATTTGGATGTGGGTTTTTTTCTCTCCACAGAACCACAATAAGCCAGAAATAACTGTAAAGCAATTTATAGATTGGATGCGCTTAGAGCCACAGTCTATGGTATGGCTACCAGTTCTACACCGTGTGGCAGCTGCAGAAACAGCAAAACATCAGGCCAAGTGCAACATCTGTAAAGAGTGTCCAATTGTTGGCTTTAGGTAAGAGAAGGGGAGTTGGGTGCTAGGTTTCCCTGAAAATATTCACACTTTCAAGTCTTCCAACAAGTACAATTATTTCTGTTTGGTTTTCCACTGTTTTCCTGCTTTAAGCTGGGATCTGCCACCCACTGCAAGGCCACAGCATGGCCTGAGTGAGCCAGTGCTTTTCTAGCTCCTGCAGTACTGCCGTTAGACACCAACAGTCCTGTGACTGACAGCGTGCAGGGCGGGCTGCCATCCGCTGTTTTGGTGCTGGCGGATCCTATAGGTAGCAAATGAAGTATAAATGCACCCCGTGTGTTCTATAAGCACAAGACCAAAAGGAGCTGATCAGTAAGAAAAAAATGTGGACTGGCTGGCTGCTCTCTTGCATAAGGCTTGGGAAACTAACTCATGCCAGGCAATATTAAACACCCTGCAGCAGCAATCTGTCCTTGCTCAGCACAAACATTGATATGTTACTGTGGTGAGACTTGCACAGTTCCTGTCTAAACCATCAAATGTAATCTAACTTTCATCTGCTTAAAGGAAGCTGTGAATTCTAAAAGAAAAAATGACTCCAGGGATATTCTCTGTATTATCCTCCTAAACTGTATGATTTTACTATGAATTATCATCATGGGGCAGGAGAGAGTTGGTACCCTTAGCAAGTACTGTTACAACTAACATGTATTTGTAAATTGATTGCTCCAGCATATAAAATGATGAAGGGGGGAAAAAAAAAAGTCGGGACTAGAGCTAAACAGCTAAACATAACTGTTTTTTTCCTCTGCTGTGGTCATGAAGTCGAGCGTGTTATTTACGAACAATACAAAGCAGTCTTTCCTGTAAGTGATTCTAAAACTTTTCTTCAGGTATCTAGGCAGATGAGTAATTTTTATTCCCCATGCTTTCTGTTTCTCCTTCTTTCTGTTGTTTTAAAGGTTAATAATATGAATCCCGAGGTCAGATTCACCTCACCTAGCTTTAGGTATGCTGGCTTTAGTCAGTCTTACAAGATTGAGCTTCTTTTACTATAAATATAGATATGTGAGTACTTCCAAAAGTAATTAATCGGATCAAACTTTGTTGCCTGTCTTAAGAGCAGATGGAATTCCTCTAAATGTTCCTATTTTTCTTAATTAATGCTTGAGGGAGCATAGGGTGACAAAGCTGCAGCTCAGATGTCTTTTAGATGCCTAAGTTGGGGCTGATGAATCTTGTCTGTGGTGAAATACTTTGTGCGGAGAAGGAAGGCATAGAGATAGAAGAGAAAGGAAGACAAAAGAATGGCTCGTTCTAAATAATTTCTACAATGAAGTTAGAGATCTGCAACAACAAAAGCATGTAGCATCTTAGCAGAAGGTAGATGTGGCCATTTAATACACAGGCTCTGAGTAAAGATTATAAACAGTTGCATCAGCATCCTTAAAAGGGAACCTTTACATTTATAGATGCATATTGTCTTGCAAAACAAAACATAAAACGCAGCAGGGGAAAAATGTGGCTTGGTACTGAAAACTGCTCTCAGGAAGCAATTTAATTTAAACTTTAACTATTCAGTAGCTATTCAATTTGGTTCAGTTAGCTCATTTTAGTTTCATACAAATGATATAACCTCCTCCGGTCAGAACAACCGTACTATAAAAAACAGTGGGTGGAATCTGGAGTTGAATTGTTGCTTTATTCAGCTCTAGTTTAAAAAAAAAATTAAAAAAAATGTGCTCCTGGTGGCTATGTTTAATACAAGGGATACTGTATAAGTTTGTTACCTTGTGTATACATACACATGTTCCTAAATAAATAAATGTCATTTTTGGACTTAGTTTTATTTTTATAACTAATGAATTCTCAAGAGTTTTGTGTTCAGAAATGTGTTTAGAACTTTTGAGCATCAAAATTATGTAAAAACATTTAAACTAACCAGTAAATGTAAAAACGTATAAAAATAAACCAGTCTACTTTATAAACGTCTTTTCTGAGATACAATCTGAATGTTAAACAGAAGAAAAACTAAAGCAATATAGTTTTAATTCAGTTTGAATTTCAAAATTATAAACTCTTCACACTCCATCTATGAAGCCGATGCCTGTAAGATTTTTCTGCTTCAAAGCAACTTGGGCAACAGATGACTGACACTGGCTTTCTATATGGCCATAGGAGGCAGGGATTTCTTTTAAATACCCAAGGAGGTGACCTGTGTAATGTAGGAAGATTGTGTGAAGTGGACTAAGAGGGCTACAAGTTTCCTGTGTCCTGTGCAGGTGCTGCAGCAGCACCAGTGCCCCTGGGTCTGCAGCCATGACGAGTGTTGGCCGTGCCGTGTCCTGGTCGCGCACACCCAGGCACTTCAAGGTGCTTTCTAAGCTAATCTCAACAAACTCACTATGTCCTTGTGTTGCTGCGGCTTAAAAGCACATGACACCATTTTGGAGAATAATTTGCCTTGTGAGGCTTAATAACAAGTAAATATTAGAACTAAACCCAGGAAGCTCTAATTGCTTTGTTTAATGTCCCCATAGGTACCGGAGCTTAAAACATTTCAACTATGACGTCTGTCAGAGCTGTTTCTTTTCTGGCCGTACAGCCAAGGGGCATAAGTTGCATTACCCAATGGTGGAATACTGTATACCTGTGAGTACCAATTTACTGACCGTTACTAAGGGATTGGTTTTGCATTCTTTGAGGTATAAAGTTTTTTCAGTCTTTTCTCACCTATGTATTCTGCCAGGATTTCTTTTTCAGATGTTTAGTAGGGCCTATCTTCCTGCCTTTCTCTTTGGAAGTCATCGGGGACTTTGCTAGTGCTGCTGATTTTATGCGGGTGGTGTTTGGATTCTGTAGAAATATCCAATTCTGAGAGAATTTGAACTTCACTTTTGTTTTGTAAAAACAAAGCTGGAATATTAAATATAATCACAGCGCTTGTATACTTGCACACACACACGCGCTATATAAGTGAGAACACGTCAGAGGAAAGGCACTCACTTTCCTATTGCTATATCATAGTAAAGAATAAATAATATTTTAGTAATGCCCTTTAGTATTTTTAATGGTGTGTGATCTTTGCTTTCACATCCAATATTTTGCTTGCTTCATGAAAACATGTCGTGTTTTATTCTCCTGAGTAATTACTGTTTACTGGGATATTTAAAAATTGGTGTGTAGCTGGAAAAAAAAATAAACAGAATTGATTGTTTCTAACCAAAAATGGTGTAAGAGGTTTGCCTGCAATGGCTATGAAAAGTTAATTTTGCAACACAGTATTTTCCTAATGGAATTTCAGCTGTGATTTTTCTAAGGAAGTTTCTAAGACACTTCACATGGAGCAGTGAGTCACTTCCTTCGTACAAATACCACTTTCACTTATTTTTTAATCTGATAGTTGTTTACATTCTTAAGAATTTTAACTCAGTAACAAATAAATTAATAGGATAATTGGTATGTAATTTAAACAACAGTGGTGAAAGGTCTGTATGCTAAGAAGAACAAATTCAGACCAGCATGTAACTAGAGCTGATGCAATAGAACTGCTTTCCACTAGAGTGACAAGGTCCTGTGGGTTCTCTTATTTGCAAAAATATTATTGAGTTATTTGACTGTCTTTTGCTGTAGTAGTTGGGCTTGTTACCTGTGTGTTCCTACTCTCTTTCATCCAATGTGTCTCCCATAACAGAATTCAAATTCTATTACATAGTGTTTTTTACTTCATTATGACCAGAAGACACCATGAGTTATGTTAATTTCTTTTCATTAATTCTATAACCTTATGTTAGGATTTGATTGATAAATTTGCATGCCAGGCTACATTCTGAAGAAATTTTTTGAAGTAGATTTGTTGGGTTTTGGCCAGTTCTAATGCTTGTTATATTCTGTCACTGGTTTTCCCTTTCTGCCTCCTCTTTTCCCTTCTCACCGTCTTAAGACACTTATTGGCTGTTTAAGGGCTATGTTTTGAAATTACAGCAGATATTTAGAGGGGAAAAAATGTTGCATGTGCAAAATACATAATGTTACATAACAGTGATGAATGTGTTGAGTATAAAAACAGTCTATAATATTTCTCTGCAATACAAATTCTTTATCTGCTTTAGCTACAGGTTTGGTATGTTTCTTGACAGTACAGTCTAATATTTTCTTGTTGCAAGTGAAGATGTACAAACAGATGTTCCATCTGTATTGCTGCCTGGGCATAGAAATGCGTGACTTTTTGTGGGTTTGATTTCTTCTTTTTGAAAGTATTTTATTGGTGGTGGGTTTGGGTTTTTTCTACATTAAGTGACTGGAAGCCCAATCTAGTAATTTCATTGACCCTTAATCTGAGGATATCTATCTACAACAGACTGTATAGATGATGTTCATTTTGCCTAAAACCCATTAACTCTATTGTTCCACAAATGCATGCCTGATTTGTAGTCACAAGTATTAAGAAAAAGAAAACTAAAATCAACCAGCCTTTAATAATTAGAGTTTTTTAATAGTTGCAGTGGGGGAGTCTTATATAAATCAGACATTAGGTCAGGATTTAGGGCAGACTCTGCAGGTGAGGGATCTGGACATGATTAGATGTCAGAATTCAAGGTGTAGCGAAGCTTATGCTAACATTTTACATTCCTATTTGCATAAGAATATAAAAGTAATAAGAAGTCTTAGTACATTAGCAGCTGTGGGATTAATTTATAAAAGTACCTGATAAGAAAAAGTTCTGTGTTTTCCTGAATCTGTAATGTTTAAAATTGGTTTTGGGTTGAAGTTTAATTCCTTTTTAAAATATTTTTTCACACAGCTAGGTCATTTTCTGGTTTTCTTTTATATTCTTTTCATGGTATGACATAGGCCCAGTTTTGCCCATACTCACATGACTCTTCTAACCCTCATGATCTGGAGGTCTACAGTGGTTTTTTTCCTTTGTTAGACATCATTAAAAAAAAAGGTGATACCGATAGTTTACTTGCCTCAGCCAACGTAACTCAAACGGTCTCGACATGTTTGAGATGTATTTTTCTTAGATTCACTTTTTTTTTCCCTTATAAAGTTCTCTCAAACCTCATCTTTAGTTTATAGCATGGTCATGGAATAGAAAATGTTCTCTGTTAATGGCTATAATATACAGAAAATTCAGAAATTAAGGTGTGAGGTGCGTCAAAATAGGCAATACTGCCAGTCCACAGAATAAGACAC